GCGGGTCACGTGAGGCCCCCGGTCGGCTGACGCCGCCGCAGCGCCGGTCACGAGACGGCGGAGCGGCGGGGCGGGGGAAGGAGGTGTGGCGCAGCGGCGCAGTGACTGGCCCGTCCTCTCGGGGCGCTCGCTGCCGTGGGGTCGCGGGTTCGAGACCCGGCTCCCGCCGGGCCCGTCGCCGTCATCGCTTCACTCCTCCCCACCCCACAGCTAGGGCTCGCCCGGGGCACCGCCAGCCGCCTCGGGACGCCGAACCGAGCTTCCTGCGGCCGCCACGGGCGCCTCTGGTCCCGGCGGGCTCCAGCGGGCACCAGCCGGCACCAGCCGCTTCAGGGCCTGGTCCGCAATGGCTGCCTCAGGGCGAGATGGGCTCCGGCCACGTCTGATAAATCAGGGCTTGATGAGGGAATTTGTGGGAAAACCACATAGGAATCACAGCGGCCTCGTTCACCACAAGGGTGCAGATGGTGTTAAGAAGGCTTTATATGATTTTGCCATTAGGGCGAAGGACAGTCGGGGTTAAAAACACGCACGCGTGCGTGAGCACGTGTTCATTCTCGCTGCAGTCAGCTAATTTTCCTCAGATCGGCTCTTGGAAAACACAGTCTTGGAAAAGGCAATGGTAGTTCAGTGATCAAAACTATCGGTATATGTGTCCTTAAATGCTTTGCTGCTATTGATCTGCCCTGAAGGACTTGGGCAAGAAGACAATATGCATGCAGGTGAAGAGCGGGGAAAGATGGCCTTGGAAAGAAACTGTTGCAGTTTTATTTTGGCACCAAAACCCATTTTTCTTACCTCGCACAGAAACTGCTAAGTGAAAAACACCAGGCTGTAAATTGCTGTATTACTAGCAAAGTCAGTTCCTTTTATTGTGTGAAACTGCTTATCATCTTAATTCACAATACTGTCTGGAGAAAGCAGGAACTATATACAAAAAGCAAACTACTTTGGTTTGCTGGTTTTGGTGAACCAAAAGATTCTTTCCTATTTTTCTTCTTTTTTTCAAGTAGGCAAGAGTTGGGGCCACCCTATAGCTGTCCCCTATAGCTGTGGGTGGCTAGTGGGGAACTGCAGCACAGAGGAGGCACAAATGCAATCGCAGAGACCAAAAAGGTGACTACACATGGTTCCAGCCCAGCAAAGGATGTGGCTGCATGTCTCTGGGAGCAACTCCAGGCCTCTAGTCCAGCGGTGTTCTCCTCTGTAAGTATTTATAGATCTAGCAGCTCCAAACTCTGCTTAGTCAAGTTCGAAGTGTGAATGTTGTTAAACAACCCCTAATGTGGCAGGTCAGTCTTCCTTCAGCCATTTATGTTGTTCTTCAACCACCAGAGGCTTCTGAAAATGTTCACATTACTGAACTGCCCACAGCCATTTATAATGCTCTTGACATGTTCCTGCTGGTACAATTTTGTTAGAGAGACGTTTCTCATATCAGTATAAAACCATACTCTAAAATAACTTAGTAAAACAGAAACTTGTCTACCTTAAGTGTGGGCAAACTTCTTTTTAAATACCTGCATTACAAATTCCAGCAAGAATCATTTCTTAATAGCTGAATTATTAACATTCAGTCAGTTTTCAGTGGAAATTCTTATAAAACTTCACAACAGACACATTTTCTCATTATTATTGCAAGCCATTTCCTCAAAATATGGCAATATATGCCATATGCCAACACTAACTAGCAAATGCAAGTCATTATCTATGTTATTTTTGGAACAAGATAAGGGTTTTTTTAAGTGATCCATAGCTCCAAGCTGTCAGACGGAAACTTGGCATTAACCTCTATAAATAAACAGAGTAGTTAGTAAATGATACTATAAAATCAGTGCTTAACAGAAGAATAGCAAGCATTTCTAACCTGCACGATGACAACATGCTTGTAAAACCGCAGGAGGGGATTCTGAAAACAAGGACCTATGATCTGCCACTTAAAGGCCACTGCCTAATGTGGTTGGGTTTATGACAATATTTGCCATTTGGTTAACTAAGATCAAGGAGGTACAAAGCAGGCCTGTAGGCAATCTGTAACTCTTCACTAGAAAACAAAAAAGGAAAAAATAATTACCACACATTAAATGATCGGGATATTAGCACCCTCAGAATAAACACACCGTAACAGTGAGCTGCAACATGGTCTTTAAGTGAGTTGTCAGTGAGAAACCCAAGCCAGGTGTACAGTACCTATAAATGGTATCAAGGAGAATACTGTAAAGAGTAACATTTAAAACCACAGCTGCTATAATATGAGTGGGTATATGGTAGATTAAACAGATATGTTCACTAATATATTTATAAATGTACTTGCCTGTAACATTGCTCCATCTGGCCTGACAGGGATATTTTTATGAAGACTCAGAAGCCTGAAAGAAGTAGTACACACTTTTTTTATGGCTTGAGAAATTTATTTGTTGAAGTTTCATTTGGAAGGGGGACACACATGACTGTAATGGGTCTTTTTGACCTCAGTTCTTTTCTGTTGTATTTTTTGAAAAATAATTATCTCTTTAAATCATTGCATACAAATCTCATCCCACAACCCAAATTTATGTCAAAAAAGACCTTAAATCAGCTCTACGCATAGGCCTGTATTCAGCTCTGAATATCTGAATGACTTATTTTTGTTCAGGAAACTCTCATGCACAGGCTAAACACAGACTGACTTGAGTGTGCACAGGCATGCACAGATATTTGCAGATAAAACCACTAGGGGTTGAGAAAGCTTACCTAGGAGTTAGGCAAGAGTCAGCAGCGGAGCAAGGTTGTCCTTAGGCCTGGTCTTTTACCAGCTGTGGAAAGTGGTTGCTCTTTTAGATTTGGAGAGTGAAAATAAGAGCACATGAGATGGGTTATGGAAGTAGCTGCTGCCAATGAAAGTAATGCTACCCAGGGCTAGAAGACTCCCACAGGGCTTTGCATGACCCAGAGCATGTGTGCTGCACCAGGCAGCGATGGGAAGTCCCCAGCTGGGGAATCCACGCCTGCTGCGCAGGAGCCTCAGCCAAAAAGCCCGTTGTAGGCTGCTGTCAGAAGCCATCCAAGGACTCCGTCCCGTGAAAGCCCTCTCATTTGTGAGTCGAGGTTGCCATTCCACGTTCCCTCACAACGACGAATGTTTCCAAAATGAACATCGTGAAAGGATTTTAGCTTTTCATTCTAGTGCAGTGACTCTTGCATCTCTGAGCATTTCTGAGGGAAATACAGTTTTTTATTTGAATTCTGATTATTCACCCATTCTATTTCTATTTCTTTGTTTTGATTTGTAGCCAAATTTTCTGCAATGATCTCTGCAGAGCTACATGTTCTTCTTTGGTATGTAGATGACACATAGAACAGAGATTGGCAGAGATGGTATAGATTTCCCTCGCTTTCTGGCATTCTCTGAGGTCATGTTCCTCAGATATTATACAAACAAAAGCTGAAAAACTGACTTCCTGAAGACAATGGGAGTATTATCATCAGTTTTATCATGATCAGAATTTTACCCATAGTTTTATTAATGTGGCAGTGGGACTTTTTATTCTGGTGATAAAGGTGCTAAAATAAAGATTCTATACAATTTGCAGGGGTAAAGCCCTAAAAATGAAAAGCTTTATTTTCTAAAGCTTGAAAATATCTGTAGATCAAAAGATAGAAAAAAATAATTTTGCTACACGTATATCCCAGTATCAAGTTGCACATGATTCAAATATCTGAAAAATAAGAAATACAATGGAATAAGATCATGATGTTCTGTGTAACACGGGAAAACTGCAGTGTAAGACCCCGTCTTCCAGCCTCCATTGGTTTGGCTGGTAGGAGAATGAGAGAAAAAATATTACTGTTTTCCCAAAGTTATTCAAAGAAAGTGGAGAGAAAATAAAATTGTATTACTTTGTTATTTACTTTTATTTTTCCTGGAGGTGGCTTTTTGAAAGCATTTTAATAAAAGATACCTATCAAAGCACATTGCATTTTAATCTTTCTTGATGTTGCCTGGGAGACACAAACCTTAAGATTGAAATTTAAGTCTTTGAAAAAAGAGGTTTGCAAACCAGAGCAGAAATGGTGTATTTTCTTCAGCCAAGCTTTGTGAAGGAGACAGAATGTCTCTTCCCTAGCTGCTTCTCTGTTTTAAAACTGCCTCCCTGGCTTTCAGCTTCAGATCAAGGACTCGAGGAAGATAATAAATTTGAATTTTACAAAATTTAAAAAATTCCTGAATTACCTCAATTGACATTGAAGTCCCCATTTATATGCATATATGCATATGAACATTTAATTATTCTATACAATGTGGGCAGCATGTTCAGGACAGGTGCAGAAAGACTTAAACCAGCATGCCTAAAAAGCTTTGGGGCAGGCTGTACCCTGACGGACTTGAAATCCACATCCAAAGCCTTGTTCCAAATCAAGCAGAGAGAAGTTATGAACAGCATTTACTAAGTACGTGCTCCACCCAGACAGCAGTGACCTCTGCCTTGCCTGTTTGGTGCAGGGCAGAGAGTCCTTGAGTACCATACTGATGCAGGACTCAGAGCTGGGATACTTGAGAGAGCACCCGATTTATGGACGGGGGCACTGGGAAGCTCAGTGCTCTGTTTCAGAGCCTCTGATATAGAGCTCTGTTGTAGAGATAAGCTGACAGGGGCTTCTTGTTGGGCTCTAGCTCCAGGCTTGGATTGA